GCTATATGCTTTATCTACCCCTACCCGAACGAGTGGTAATCATCTCATGCATTAGATACAATTATATTCATGTGAATCAAATTGATTATACAAAAGTATAATGTTTTGTTTCGTCACAAAAAAAATCACAATATTCCATTCATGAAATCCTTAAGTATGCACGCACAAAAAAGCAAGTATATCCATATTACATCGCAAAAACAAGTATTTTAGTATTACGTCTTAAAGAAAATACATTCATATCCATTGCAAGCAAGTGTAGTTTTTAAAATAAAAAAATTTTGACAGGAGCGATGTTGTATGTGTTAGTAGAAGAAGATAGGTTTACAATCAGACACATACCGCTAGATTTTTTTCTAACAGAGAGGAAAAAGCAGGCCCAAAACCTTAGCCTGCATCCAAAACAACTCTAACAAAGGCATGTTCCCTCATCCTCACTAACTATCTGATCTTCACTCCCATGTAGTCGTGCAAAAAATATGACTGTTCCAATCTTTTCAAGTTTGCCAAGTGCAGTACAAGGTGACCCCATGAAAATGCCTTTTCTCCTCCTTTGGAACCTGGTCTCCATCCACCAGTCGTAGATGGGAGTGATGTTCTAGGAACTGGGGGAGACAACACCTGGTATCACGACCAAAAGGCCATTGTTGGCCATAGCTGCCTCACAAAGCTGCAAGAAAAGAACATGTGATCTGTCGTCTCTTGGCAAGAGCTACACGCCGGTCAAATCTCACTGCATGTCCATCTGTAGCGCAGCAGCTTATTGGCCATGGGGATGCGGTCTGCCAAACCAGCAAGGATAAGGACCTCACCTTTGCTCTATATATGCAACCTAACATATAGCTTGAGGAAATAGAGCTTGTGTTCTTCATTCAGGTTGCATTTACCCGCTAGTGGAAATAGAGATATAGTTTTTCTTATAGCCACGGAAGTTAGTGATATCTACACACAACAATGTCCATATGATCAAGTTTGCTGAAACACAATATCTCTGCACACGACATTGCTAGTGTGATAAAGTTTGCAAAGTGAACTTATAACTGCAAGGTTGTATAAACAAACGAGTTTTTCTTGTTAATCCTTTGGAACCATAAGTAGCAGTCTAAATTTACATTCGTCAGTCTACATGGTATAAAACAGCATACCCCTCTCGTGTGACTCGACGAAGGACTATAAGTGCAATGTACATAGATGCTTATTATGACCAATCCCTCTCTATGGGTCTTAATTTATATTCAGTGTCAAGCAGGCCAACACTAATCTACAATAGAAGTGCATGCAGTTACTTCTTCGGCTACTCGGCACTGATGTTGCGGCTCAAGTCATCATGCTGGAAAATACATGGTCGCCTCCTCATTTCATCACATAATGCTACCGGTAGGCTGAAGTCATCATGCTAGCAAATACATGGTTGCTTCATCTCATCAGATAATGCTACTCATATTAAAGCAACCCAAGACTCAAGTATGAGTCCACACAAATGGACATTGAGAGCCACTATCGGTCTCATTCGCGGAAGGGGTACACGAACGATGCTATCTTCCGACGTATTTTTAGAAATCAAACCAGAAAGAGCACTTCTTAGCTAGGAAAACCATTTCTTCTAGATCCGTCTCAATTTCTTGTATGAACTATTGTGATGTTCCTTGACCATTCAATAATGTTTTTAGCAGTGACATGTATTGACATAACAATCTGAAATGTAAGATGTTGCTCACAAGAAATGTCCCTAGAGGGAACTCTTCCTTAAAAAATACTGCAAACAATAATCTTTTTCTGCCAATCTTACTGGAAACTATACTCACGATATGCAAACGATAACTATTAGGCAGCGAGAACATATACCTTGGACCATTTGTTCTGGAACGAAGCAATGGTGGTGGCGGCTCCCACATCCTCGGAGGTAGTGAAACCAGGACTCTGAAATTCCCTTGTTCTTTGTTCAAGGGCTTCTTGGAAGGGAGGTACTTTAATAATTAGTCAACAATAATACTTGTGCTATTTTATTCATTTCAACTCATATTGCACAATTACCCGCAAAAAAACTCATATTGCATAATTGAAAATGTCAATAAAAACAGAGAACAAGAAAATCAGTATTTATATTGTAGGTATCTACAAACTTGTTCTCCCGGTGAAATCAATGTTTTCGAGTCGATGAGTCGACGGGTCGCTCGGGGAGGGCGACTCTAGACTAGTCGTGACTAGTCTAGACTCACGGTCGACGAGTCGACATGGCGACGAGTCAACGCGAGTTAAGCAGCAGGCAGTCAGGGGAGGAGCACAAGTGCACAGCAGCAGCAGCAACCAGGGGAGGAGGGGAGGAGCACACCACCAGCAGCAGTAACCAGGGCCAACTGAGAGATGGGCCACTAGTTATGCACTTCCCTGTGGCCCAAAAGCCCATCTAGTAGCTATATACTCCTCCTGTGACCTAATCCACCATCCACACTCCCTCCTCCCTCACCACAGCTGCCACACATTCTGCTGCCACTCTCTTGCCACCAGTCCACCACTCCTCCCAGCGATGGATCTCTCAACCCCCCCGCAGCAGCTCTCTTGCCACTGCTCCTCCTCCCAGCCTGCTCCTCTTGCCGCTTCAGCTTCAGCAGCAGCAGCAGCGCGGCGGCAAGGGCGCAGCAGCAGCAGCGAGGCAGCACAGCAGCAGCAGCAGCACGGCGGCGGGAGAGTGCTCTAGATCCAGCGCTGCCTCGAGTTGTTCGACCCAAAAACCGTGACTAGTCGTGACTAGTCGAGACTAGTCGCGCGAGTCGCTCGACTCATCCCAAGAGTCGAGTCGAGAGGCTGAGTCGGCCCTGGAACTGCGACTCGTCGACTAGTCGACGACTACGACTAGTCGCGACTAGTCGAGCGACTCGAAATCCATGGGTGAAATACCTGCAGGCATTGAAATATGAAACCGTGGTGAACAATGAATAATATTCTTATTGTAGTATAGTGAGAGCAAAACATAGTACACACACCATAAGTAGGTGACATCGATATTTCACTCGAAGGAGTGTTCAACTTTTAATGGTCAAGATAAATGAACAGGGCTGCATTTCACTAAAGATGCTCTAGCGATAGTGTGAAATTCATTTGAAAAAAACTGAAAACACACGGTTGTTATACCATTGCCTTCAGAACTGAAAAATCTCTGTTCCTAGTCTCCTCGCCCAAAAGTTTTCATGTGAAAATGAAAAAATAACATGGTGAAGGATAAACTTTGAAAAAACAACTGATTATATATTTGTGTTCAATACAAAACAACATGCCCAAAACACAATTGGAGACAAGCAGAATCTACATTTCCTTCTCCATGCTCCATTATGTGTTACTCCCTCCGTCTCATAATGTCATTGCCACAAACACATGATTTCAAAGAAATTCACTTTGATTATCAAAATAAAAATATGACATGATCATCATCTGGAATGGTTTGTCTAAGGAAAGAGCAGAGGGGTACCTTCATTGTGTTTGTAAGATCGAAACTTCTATCTCCTGCAAAGTCTTTCCTATGTTTTGACTACAGGCCACCACATAAATATCGCCGCTACGACACAAGGTGATGAAAACAATGCGTACAGAACTTGCAAACCAAATCTAGTGCATTCTTGTCAATTCTTCACCAGACAAACCTAGGAAAGTTCTCTACACATATTTAACCGCTTGCTAAATTATACATACAGTAGCAAGCATATCTTAGATATAGTTTAAAATTTTGAGTTTTTTAACACAGTTTAAAACATTGCTATCAATGTAGGATTGACTGCGTAAACATTTCCACGAAAGGGCGCGGCCATTACTTACGTTTTTCCTCTTAATAGAACATGGGAGGTGCAGTAATTCTATGATAGAAAAAGGCTTCAGCCTGCAACCTCTGACACTTCATGACTGCAACAAAAGTAAGTGTCTTCAATCTTCATAAACATGCAGAGGGTTAGTATAACAGTTGCCTCGTACAGTCTGGTGACTTGACCTACTTGGCTACATACAACTTAAAATCATCCAGATTTACGCCCCAATTTGTCCTCACTAACCCATAACTGATAGAAATGGTCAAATCTCCAATTGCTCACAGTATAATAAACTCGATATACGACCATAAACTTCTATATGTTTTCTTTGTGCCATTCAAAGGGTGTGCAGGTCTACACTGTTTACCCAAATTTGAGCAGTACTAAACAGTAAGGCATTTTTGTTCTTTCAACCATCCTTCACATCATCAGCAATCAGAGATTTAGAGATTGAAAATGCACACATGGTCAAATTATTTTGTCAGTTTTGGAGTGTGTGTACGACAACAATGCAATGTTGCACAAAGGCATCATCTGCCCGGCCAAAGTCATTAGCAAGCTCGGGGCGGTCGATGTAGCCACTACATCGTACATCCTATCTAATCCATGGATGGTCTATGCGCATAAATGAAGTTCTCAGCGGCCAACCTTTTCAAATTAGTAAAATGACCTGCATCAACAGAGATCGTGTCAAAAATAAGAGGAAAAGGTTTATTGACTATACTTAACAGGGCCATGAGAGGAGGAAAACAACCGGGTTCTTATCAGTACAGAGAAAAAGGAAAAAGGCAAGGCAATCTTTTATCCTCGCTGGCTTAGCAATTTAGTAGGGATGTCAAAACATAATATATAGAAAAGTGCACTGATGGTAAGTTTTCATCGTCACATTCGCTTTAAAGGTAGCTGACAAGTTAAAAAATATAGAGCCATCGACTGTACTTCTGAGTGTGATCGTCCACAGATTGCATATGGAAAAACTATATAGCAACAGGAAGTACATACTGAGGAGTTCATGCAGAAATAAAAGGGAAAAATTGCAGGAAATAGCAAACATGTTTGACATGAGTTCAAAATTGCTTCGGTGTCCAGTTTGAGTGGTACCAAATAGTTGTCGTTAAGCATGCAACCAAAAGTATCTCATCCTTTCGAAGTTGTACTGTAAAATTAAAGGATCATGATTTGGTGGCTTGACCGCTTGATTTGTTAAAATGCTAAATTCATCTCCATCACTTCATCTCCTGGTCTTACATTAAGATCAACAGAGACTGGAGCCTCGCAGTTGCAAAGCTTCAGGGGAAAAGGCAAAACAGTTGAACATGAGTTAACATTATATCCAGTTCTCCTCATGGGCTTGTCTTTATTAGCAGCTGGCTACCTTGTTGTTTACCAGGCCTGAAAAATCAAACCAATCTATCAGTGGAACAACAGACATCCATAATTCATCTCGATCAGGAGAGGGCAAACAACTACCAACCATAGTATTTGTGAGAGTGGATACTGTAAAAGGTTGTTCAGCTCCCTTGCTGAACTTAATCTTAGCATTGTTTTTGCCAAACTGGTTGATTAGGATTTTTTTTCTCCAGAAGCTCTTAGACCAGATTATCCAAAATCGTCGCTGTTTATCCTAACATAAAAAATCATATCAGTCAATGAATATCTAGCCTAGAAGAAAATGAGACGCGGTATAGAAGTATAAGTATTATGTAGTTTCAATCTCACCATAACCGTGCATAATAGCAGCACCTCAGATTCCTGTTGGTGACCACCCTGTAGTGTATGGCGTGAGTTATCGGATGGTTGTGACGGACTGCAAACCGTGTTGGGTGGCATGAGGGCAAGTTGTCCCCGCGGCAGAGGCCAAGCTGAGCGGCTCTGGCAGCGAAGGGCGCGGCGGGCGGCTCGCGCGGCGGCTCCCCCACGGCGAAGGGCGCGGTGGCTCCCGCGGTGGAAGGCGCGACGGGCGGCTTCCCGGCGGTGGCTCCCGCGGCTACGAAATTGGTTTGCTTGGTCTCAGTGTAGATGAGTTCAGCAATAGAAGCTTACTTGCGACTCCAGCGGAGTGGCGGCATGGTGGAGGCAGAGTGGCGGCGGCCAAGCTGTGGCTTCGGAGGCCGTGAACAGCAGCGGGGGCGGCTCCGGCGGCTGGGGAGGCAGCAACCTGCGGTGGGGGTGGGCTTCCGCGGCTGGGGAGGCTCCCGGCGACCTGCGGCGGCTTCCTGTGGCTCCGACAGCGCGAGGCGGCGGTGAAGGGCACGACTTCCCGTGGCTCGGCGCGAGGCTGCGGCGAAGGGCGTGGCTGCGGGAGGCGAACGGCGCGAGAGGAGAAGGAGGTCATGCGGGAGAAAGGGGAGGTCGTGCGGGCGGTTTTATTTATTTTTTAATGCGGGGCAGATTAGCGATCGATCGACTGTGGCTTAATGTGTGGTTGGTAGTGTTAAACACAGAAGGATTTAGGGCCATTAGATTTTAATGATGAATGGATGTGATTGTTTAGATCTGCCCATCTCTTCCTTTTGTAGTGGTAGTAGATGTGTCGCCCCTCCTGGCCCCCAATCCCGCCTCCTCCGCTGCGGTGCCGCGCAACCCCCAACCCCGCCTCCTCCCCCGCGCCGCTGCATCGCCTCCCCCAACCCCGCCTCCTTTGCGGCGCATCCCCACCCCGAAACATCGCCAACTCCACCCTGCCGCCATGCATCTCCGCGGCCCGCCGCCTCCCCTAGTGCGCCGCCCACCTCCAGCCCATGCACCCTGGTGAACTGCCGCCTACAGTCCCCTCCCCCCTCTCCTACTTCGGTTCTACCCGTTGACGTGCACCACAACCGGCCATGCTCTCAGGCGCCTCCTGCGGTCCTGTCATCTCGATCTTCTGCGATGCGCGCCGCTCTCCTTCCGGTGAAGCTCCACGTCCCCATCGTCTGCCCACTCCAACGACCAACACGCATCTGTTCTTCTCGCGACGGCCACCTTGAACTTCCTGATGTAGGTTCTTCTTAGCGGCAGCACCTCACAAGAGCGGCAAGTCCGACTGTTATTATGAAATCCCCCATTTTGGGTGAAATTTCTTGTTGTCTGGCATTGAGATCAGGAATTTCCTTGGCGAGAAGAAGGTAGTTTCTTTTTTCTTGACCAGTCACACTCAGATCCACAAGCTTGACCAAACAGTCAGATCGTCGAGCTTGATTTAGGGGTTTTGTGATGCTCTGAGTTGGGCGTGTGCATAGAAAATGTCTCCTTCTGGCCTACCACACAGCAAAAATTTGTGGATAGATAGTCAAATAGAAAATTCTTCTTGTGAGCTAGGCCTGTGCATAGAAAATGTTTGATAGTGTTGTATTTCATTCAAAATAATTGAGTGGACATCTTTATAGATAGTCAAATATCTGATCATATACCATTCTGTATATGTGATGTTCCTATGGCTTTATGCCCATGAATCCACCTCTGTGTGTTATAGGAATCATGTATATAAATGGAACAGGTTCAGTTATCCTCTTAGTTTTTCATTATTTCTGATGCTTTTGGGAGTAATTACTCAATTTTGGTTTTCATTGCCTGTATTTTCTAGTAGAAAGAGATTGTTATTTTAGAGTTGAATGCCTACATGTTCGTTCATATGCTCTAGTAATTTAAATGTTGGACATGGTCAAGTAAAAATGTTAAAGGCATCCTTCCCTTCTCCTTTCTTTTGCTAACTCTTTGACGTGATGCCCGAAAGTAGATGAACCTTGTGCAACAAAATATTTGAACTTCGGTTAACTTCCTATTAGACACACTAATGCAATGTAGTATGCCATTGCTTTCTTTGAGTATTTCTTATTAGACACGTATTGATTTGGTTCAGAATCTCTTCTATCATTCTACAGTGATGCATTTCGTAGTATTAAAAACTATGCATCTACTTCTTGTGTTTATGCCACAAAAAAGAAATTAGTATGGCTGCACATGGTCCACTGTTCTTGACCATTTTCTAGAGTAATTAGTATGGCTGCAATCCACTGTGTTGATTGTCAGCATGCCAACTTGATTAATACTAGTGCAACTCATCTTCCACTGTCATGGCGAGATGTTGTGCGTGTGCAGTGTGCACACATCCTGAAAACATCTTACTCTCTGATTGATATGGCGGCACAACATAATCACTTGAGATTAGATGTAGCATCATTTGTGGAAAAGCAGTGGATGGATAGGCTCGATGTGTTTGTGTGTGTTATACATCGAGCCATGGATAGTAGATAGACGTCATCGACACACTCAACACCTGATGTATGTCACCGCCGGCGAGCAGAAGCACATGTCGCCATGGACATTTACCAAGGCAAGGTGATTGCGAGATATTCGCTTCAAAACCAATACCATTCACTTCAATGTGTTCTTCCACCCTGGCTTGGATCAAGCCAGATCCCTATGGCAGGTAATCGATCACTTTCTTGTTATGTTTCACATTTGCAAAATATGTTGGAGGCTTTGTGCTGTTGTGGATATAATTTCTTTGCAAGGTTGCACTTGTTAGGATTGGTGTTATTGATGTGCTTCCATAATTTTGATGTAGATTGACAGTTCTATGTTTGGTAGTCAAGTTCACTTAAGCCAGTGCAAAAATCATCTTTCCTTGGTACTTGCACCTGTTATTATTTTCACACATAATTTTGATTCTAGATTAGCACAATGGCACATTCTCTTCTTTTAGAATAATTTCCATGCACACATGAACTAATTCATAGAACAACATGTATGCATTATTTTAAAATCATATATGTTTATGGTATTTCAACCATGTTGTGGCTGGAGCCTTCTATTTTTAGTTAAGTAGGAGTAGTCCCATACCATATTTTTTCTCTCGATTATGCTCAAAAGTTTGTGTCTCCACTCTCCAGGATCCTCCGTGTCGCTCTACTGTTCCCTACCCATGTGAACAGAGGAAGGAAGAAGGTCACCATGTGGCAGGGGAGAATATCACACATGAGGTGCAGGGGACAAACTATGTATAAGTTGATGCCATCTACCTACTTATGTTATACTTCCGACAACGGTGTGAGCGCGCGCATGCGTTCTGTGTGTATGTTCATGCAAAAAGTGGGTGGTTATATTTTATTTTTGTGTATATAAGAGAAATAAGTTCAAAGATAAGAAATGGAAAAGTTTTAAACATGTAAAATAATAAAAAAAATCTTGTGTGGATTTTTTGTGTAGAAATAAAATGTAAATTCACAATGAAGTTCATATATAAAAAAGTTAAACTACACATAGAGAAAAAAGGTCGATTTCTGGAAAAGTTGTATTGAAAAGTACATGTTCTCTAATTCTTGATGCTTATCTGGTCAGTCCCCGAGGAGTGAAAATGCAAAGCTCACACGTAACATAATATAATTAAAAATATTGTTCAAGTATTGTCCTCTAGAAAAGTTCATGCATATATAAACTGAATACAGGAGGCTAGAAAAAATTAAACCCATCAATGAAAAATATACCTAAAAAATAAAAAGGTGAAAGAATGTACCTAAAAAGGTTAAAAAACTAGACGTCCAAATTTAAATAACAGAATGGCTCCATGTTTATTAAAACAGCTAGGATTTTTTTCGTTACTAAAATAAATAAAGCAGGAAGTCTAGATTAAAAAGAGGAGCGGTTCGATGATTATACAAAATCCAGATTTCCTTGTCATTAAAGAAGGGAAACAAGAAATTTAAAATAAAATAATGCAGTTGTTCATTGTAAGAAAAGTCAAAAAATCCAAATCTTCTTACAACAAGATTATAGGAAGTTAAAAAATAAAAGAGCACTTAGAAATGGATATTTCACCGTTTCTAAAAAAAGAGAAGTTCAAATATTAAAAATAGAGAAGTTCAGAAATCATAAAAAAGAACTTTCATTTTTCTAAAATAAAAAACTCTAGAAGCTCAAATTCAAATAATAGACGGTCCAATATAAAAAATAAAATTAGGATATTTTCATTACTAAAAGAATTAAACCAAGAAGTCCAAATTACTAAAATGGAGAAGTTCGATATTCACAAAGAAAATAAGATTTTCTTTATTAAAAAAGGAATAAAAATGAAGAAGTTCAAATTAAACTAAAGGAGTAGTTCGATCTATATGGAAAAATCAAACTCTTTCTGTTTCTGGGGAAAATAAAAGTATGAAGTTCAATTTTTAAAAAAGTGTTTGATGCTTACTTCAAAACATATTTTCTTCTAAGAATAAGACTAAGAAGTTCAAATTAAATTAAGAGAGAAGTCCGAAGTATATTGAAAACTCATTTTTTTTCTCGCCAGTAAAGAATAAAATGAAGAAGTTCAAATTAAAACGAGGGAGTAATTCGATGTATATGGAAAACTCAAATTCTTTCCGTTTCTAGGTAAAATAAAAGTATGAAGGTAAATTCTTTTAAAAATTTGTTTGATGCTGAGTTAAAAATATTTTTTTTTTCTAAGAATAAGATTAAGAAGTTCAAATTAAAATAACATAGAAGTTTGAAGTATATAAAAAAGACTTAGATTTTTCCTTGTTACTAAAGAATAAAATGAAGAAGTTCAAATTTAATTAGCAGAGTAGTTCAAATATTTATCACGAAACTAGGATATTTCCATTACTAAAAGAAATAAACCAACAAGTCCAAATTACAAAAATAGAGAAGTTCAATATTTATAAAAAAACTCAGGTTTTCTGTGTTACTAAAGAATAAAATGAAGAAGTTCAAATTAAAATAAAGGAGTAGTTTGATGTATACAGAATACTCAAATTCATCCCATTTCTAGAAAAAAGAGTATGAAATTCAATTTAGAAACAAAAATGTTTGGTACTTATTTAATAACGTTTTTCGGCCATAATTTT